GGCTGGAGTGCAACTGCTTGATCTCAGCTCACAGCAACCTCCACCTCCCAGATTCAAGGGATTCTCCTCAGCCTCCTGAGTGGCTGGGATTACAGGCGCCTGCCATCATGCCTGACTAATTTTTTTTCATATTTTTGTATTTTTTGTACTTTTAGAGATGGGGTTTCACCATGTTGGCCAGGTTGGTCTCAAACTTCTGACCTCAACTGATCCGCCTGCCTCCACCTCCCAAAGTGCTGGGATTACCAGCGTGAGCCACCACGACTGGCCCACTTACTTCAGTTTTAAACCTTCTCCCAAGCCTGTCTCTTCACATTTCCCTACCCTCTCTTTGGCCAATGTCTTTCACTTGCCTTTAGATCTGCTGGCATGCCTTTCTTGCAACAGAAGGCCTTCTTAAACGGAAAATGTTTTTTATCATAACTCTTTTTTTAAGGGTTGGGATAATTCCAAAGTACTTGAAATAAGTTTCTCACATCTCGCTCTATGAAGTTGACTAGGATTTGTTCTGAAACTATTGGGTGACCAATACAAAAGAAACTCCTAAGCACAAGACCTGATCTAATTAACTAACAGAGGACACTATCCAAATCAAAAACTCACTTTCGATGTGTAATGTGCCCCACACCAGATGACTTCAGCAGATGCAAAAGATAACCTAGGCTGAAAATCCTTGACTGAGTCGACAAACTCAGAAAAGCATGGAGATGAAACGATCTGTGGACGGGTATGATGGTGGGATGCAGTAGGCACTGATGAGGCAGCTCCCTTGGCTTGTGTTTGGGGCGCTCCGCTATGTCTATTCTTTAATAGAAAAAGAGTTCTAAATCTTTGACTTCTGGGTCACTTTGCTCAGTCCATACAAAAGAGACTGATCCACTATATACCTCTTCTGTGAAGACCCTAATCGCTTCAAGACTGTCCCTTAAAAGGTAAGAGACTGCTGCATTTGCACAGCTGCTGCAGGGAAATTCCCTGCGACACTAGAGACAGGTAAATAAAGAAACTGCATTCGCTCCAAAGCAGGGGGAGGGGTCTTCTATCAGTGAAGAGTTTACATAATGCAACGGAAAACCAGTGAGCTCTGCAGACCTGTCAAGGGAAATGCAAGGCTTGAGCCCCTCTCTTCCCACTATCTCTAAACATTCTCCAACGGCCTGCTCTTCACTCCCAGGAGAACCACAGAACTTACACCTGAGAATGAGTAACAATCCGCATACGCTTACCCTTTGCTTTCCTACCCACCTTCATTATTGAAATACAGAAGGAAAAAGAAAAATAAGAAGTAGAAAACCCTAACCTCCTATTTCTGAGTCCAAAGTATGGAGTAACCAAACGGGGCCGGGGAGTTTTCCCTTCTGTTAAGAGAGGAGAACAAGGCGCCGCCTCCAATCTACACTACGCCCAGTAATGCAATGACAAGCCCTAAAAACTCCACAGCGTCCCAGGCAGTCCCTTGCGGCTCGGCCCGGCTAGGATCCCGCGGCCCGGCAGCCGCCCTCTCCCCCGGCCTTTCACAAAGGAGACTGGTTCAGTCCGGAGCATCACCCCGCACCTGATCCCTCACAACTGGGGGGCGAGCAGGGGATGTAAGAGAGAGGAGGAGGAGGAGTTACTGAAATCAAATCTCTGAGAGCCTCAGCTTTTGCTGACTCCGGGCCCAGCACTGGGGAGCGGGTGTGAGCGGGAAGCCTACCTGTACAAGTCCTGGTGCTTCCTTTCCAGGCAGCGTTTCAACTCACCGTCTCCGAGAACAAGGCGCCTTCCGGCGGAGCATGGCCAGCCCTCGCCTCAATCTAGCTTGCTAGTAGTCCATTCTCCCTAGGCTCCGCCCCCCTGTACTCCGATGCGCCAATGGCAGCACCGAAGCCCGGCCTCTTCCAGAGGGCTAGTGTGAGCGCCATCCAGGAAGTCTCTTGAGGGTGGAGGGTCCTAGGAGGATGAGAAGGGAACGTAGGCGACCACAAATATGCCTGATTGAAAATAAAATCTGGCGGCAGCTAGCCTCTGACGGCTCAGTTCACAGGCGGCCAGGCCCTTCGGCATCTTTTTTTTGACCCCCGCCATTGGGGGCGCTCTGAACTAAAAGAACACTTAGTTACCTACTTCTGGGAAGCCATCTTGGCTCGGACTGGTGCCTTGGAGGCGGGGACCCGGTGAGACTGCTTAAAGAACCTGAAGCTCCTGTCGGCGTTCTGTCCGGCTATCTAGGTACAGCCCGAACATACTCTCCTGTATGCATTCAGAGTGCCCCTCAGTCACGATGTGAAACCCTGGAATATTGCCATGTGTGATTACGGGTAACCACCACCGTCTCACATAGCTGTAGGAGTAAAGCAATTTTAACAAATCGAATAAGCAAAAATTAATTCTTCGAATGAGAGTTAAAGTTACACCTTCCTAGGGTAATCCTTTATGGACACCTTACTCAAAATATCAGGATATGTATCTATTCTAGGTGCTTCTAATCTTTACGATTCACTTGCAGATTTTCCAGCAGGTGCACTCTGAATCAGTTGGAAATAAACGGAACTTAGGGAGGAATTCCTTTTTTTTTTTTTTAAGGCCTAAGTTTCATCAACATATCAAAACTACAGATATATCTACGCAAATAATAGAGGCCTTAGAGGAGAAATTATATTTAAGGAGAAGGAAGGCCATTAGGGGGCAGCCCTGGGGAAGAGTAATTTTCTTCCGTAAATTGGAAAGGAAATAATTTCATTATAAGTGAAATTCTCTTGCACTCAACGAGAAAGGTTTTCCTGTACTTCATAGTCTAAATCTCTACTGCTATTACAACTCACTACAAGAATTTTTTTTTTTTTTTTTTTGGTGACATAGTTTTTCTCTGTTGCCCAGGCTGG